TAAAATAGTTAAAAATGTTAAAAGAAGAAAGAGGAAAAGAAAAAAAATAGAATAAGAACAAAATAAAATTTTAAAAATTTAACTTCAAAAGGCTAAAGGATCATGGAAAAAAGCTGTGAATTCTCTTTGCTGCTTTCCTTTGGCTCTGGAGTTCGGCAGATCTTGTTGATTGGTGAAGTTGGTCTTGGCTGGATATTCTTGCTGATCTTCTGGGGGAGGGGCCTGTTGCTGTGATTCTTAAATGTCTTTGCTAGAGGTGGAATTACGCCGCCCTTGCCAGGGGCCGGGCTAAGTAATCTGCTCGGGTTCGCTTTTGGAAGCTTTTCTTCCCTCCGCACTTTCCGTAGAGCTCTGGAGGACAGGAACAAAGATGGCGGTCACCCTGTCCAGCTGGAGGAGCCAAGAGCTCGGGACCCCACTCCTCAGTGCGCCCTTGGAGAAAAACCATCAGTCCCTCCCGTCTGCCTGGTCTCCTGCCATGCTCCGAGCTCACCGGCCTATGACCGAATGTGTCTGTCTCTGGCGCGCGGCCCCATTTGGAGTCTCCAAACCTAGCAGATTCCTGCTGCGCTACTTCTCCAAGGGTGTCTCCCCGGATCTTGTGGGGTCCCATCTCAAAGAGCAGTGGCCTAACTGTGCCACAGATCACAGTTTAAGATAACCCCGAGCAGAGAGCTCACTCCTTGGCTCTGTCTCTGCCACCAGCTTCCCCGCTCCAATACCTGAGAGCTCTGTGACACTCAGACACCCCCCAGATCCTTCTGTGACCCCACGGGACCTGAGACCACACTGTCCTCTTGAGGGCTCCACCCCTGCTTAGCCTCTGGAGCGACATCCCTCTGTGGAGCAGACTTCTACAATTCCAATTTTGTGCTCCATTACTCCCCTGCTGGTCGGGAGCTGGCCCCTCCCCCGTGCTCTATCTTCCTGTCACTTCGGATTCACTTCTCCGCATGTCCTACCTTTCAGAAAGTGGTCAATTTTGTGTTCCTAGAATCACTGCTCCTCTGCTCTTCCATCTCCTGTTGAGTTCGTAGGTGTTCAGAATGGTTTGATACCCATCTAGCTGATCTCTTGGGACCTGATGTATTTCAGTCTGCTACTTCTCTGCCATCTTGCTTCCTCGAGCACTGCTTCCCTCTTAATTAAAACTTCAGGAAGCTTGCCAGCTCTTGCTTAAATCTTAGCTAATTATTCTTTCATTTATGATTCTATTATGAAGCTCATTAAGAAATTATCATTCATTAAATTAGCATATTATCCTGAACTTTCTTTTCTTATGCAGTGATAGAGTGCTATTATCAATTTATTCCTAGATTATAGACAATGGTTAAATACCTTGCCTCGTTATTGAGATAAAATGCAAAAAATAAAATGTTGACTGTTGTTGAGAAAGCTATGTGTCAGCTGGTAGATACTCAGCAGATGTTCAAACATAGTCTATCCTGAAAAGAGAGAACTCAAAATATCCGATTGCAAGAGTACAGAGACTCTGGTAAATTTTAACTTAAAGTGTTGAAACCTGCTACATCTTCATCAGGATGGCAGCGGGGGTGACGTGGCCCAGGATTTGCTAAGGTGGAGGACGTCTCTGTTCTCGCTGAGCAGTGAGCGGTGCATGCATGTCTGTCGCTGGCGTGCCCTGGAAGGTTTGCCCCTTGCTAAGGCATCGGTGAGGTATTGGGCACCAGCACTCAGCCACTAAGCTTCTATTAATATCGTTTTCCAGTCTTGGTTTTGTTTTTTTTAAGATTTTATTTATTTATTTATTTGACACAACGAGGGAAGGAACACAAGCAGAGGGAGTAGGAGAGGGAGAAGCAGGCTCCCCACTGAGCAGAGAGCCCAATGCGGGACTCGATCCCAGAACCCTGTGATCATGACCTGAGCCGAAGGCAGACGCTTAATGACTGAGCCACCCAGGTGCCCCTAGTTCTGTTTTTGATAGCAATTTTCAATTAAATAAGGTTTCAAAAATCCTGGCGACTCTCAATTCTAGATAATCACTTTTCCACTTGTATGTCTTTTCACTGGAAACTCTGTAAAGGTATGTCATAAACCTATTTCTGCATTTTCCTCTCAACATTTTTATTATTTTTTAAGATTTTATTTATTTATTTGACAGAGAAAGAGAGATCACAAGCAGGCAGAGAGGCAGGCCGAGAGAGGTGGGGAAGCAGGCCCCCTGCTGAGCAGAGAGCCTGACATGGGGCTCGATCCCAGGACCCCGAGATCATGACCCGAGCTGAAGGCAGAGGCTCAACCCACTGAGCCACCCCGGCGCCCCCTCTCAACATTTTTAAGGTTATGTGTCGCTATTTTGGGGTCCCTCCTATTTTTGTGTCATTTCAGGGAGTGTGGGGTCCCATCGGTCTTACTCCTTCCCAGTGACATCCACCCTTTAAAAGACAGCTTTGGAACTGATTTCCTTCCTCAGGCTTCCAGATTAGCTCTACACACGTTCTATTTTTCCTCTCCAAGTCCTGCTTTTCCAAAGACAGTGGTTTCTAGGGATAACGACAGAGGTTTTGATATAGTTGCCTAGAGAATCACAATGAGTGAACATTTCTACTCTCACCCGTTACAAGCTCTCCAAATGCACAGTGTGTATTTATAGAAATAGGTGTATGGCTTTGCCCCCATTTTAAGTGAAATAGACTGTGTATACAAATATTGAGGGAATGCGTATTACTTTGTGATCAGACTGAACTTTTTTTTAAGAGAAAACCATTCCTGATGTCGATGGGATGCTTTTTCTGTACCACATATTTTTACTCATCTTTCATTTTTTTCAGAGTGGGATATTACACAAGAAAAAGTTCCTATCTCCATTTCTTTTTTCAGAAGAGCCTTTTCAAATGGAACACGAAAGCAGTTTGCCCCAGTCAGGAGATAGCCCAGCCAGCCCGTGTGGGAGCCCGCTCCCCTGCTTCCCTCCAGAAGTGTGCTGCTCACCAGCACCGTCCCTGGCCTCCGATGCATAGCACACGAGAGGGCCATCCTTGCACCTATAATGCCTTCGTTAAAAGTGGAACATACTCTCCCTTTTCTATACTCAACTGTTAGATTTTAAAACCAGTAATGGCATTGAAAAGGAATTCATGTTCACTGTGCCCATTTCATGGTGGGAAATGCTGGCGCTCAGCTCGTCTTAACCCAGTGTCCTACCCAGCAGGGGTGGAATGGAACGTTTGTCTCTGCCTCGTAAGAAGTCACCCATAACTGTCGTTTCTAACCAAAACTCTGGAAACTTCCCTCCCATATGTCGCTGAGTACCACCACACGTTTCTTGTCAACGTCATGCAAACAGGCTCTTTGTCCCCACCGTTCCAGTTGGGTGACGCTCCCAGGCACATGCCTGGAACCCGTTCCGCAGAAGGCAGTGAGAACATTGCCCCTCAGCAGATGGTTTCGGAAACACACTTTGTACCGGGTCCCCTGGTACCGATGATGTTGTAGAACATTCAACTCAATACGAGTGCATGAGAAATCTTTCACTGCTAGGACCTGTGGTCCTAAATGCTGATGTCATTAGCATGGACTGCTTTCCTTCACCCCAAGGAGCCCCTGCTGCAGAAGGGGACCCCTTCCTCCCTGGGAGCCGCCAGCTGCACTCCAGTGGGTTCTCTGAGGAGTCACCACTGCGGAGGGAGCCCTTTGGAATTTTGAAACCAAATTCTGTTCTTAACACTAGAACGGGTCAATGGGAGTTATTCCTGGTAGGGACGCCTGCCACCCAGTAGGGGGGTGAAACTGGGAGGCTGCGTGTCCGCACACCCCCAGCTGTGGTGGGACTGTGCCACCCACCAAGAATCTGGAGTCCCCAAGTGCTGGCTCCCAGCGATCTGGTTTCTGCCGCTCGGCTGCCCGTCCCCCTAGAGCGAGTGTCCTGTTCTGTTGAGTCGTTTCTAAATTTACAAATTCATTTTGTCAACCTTTCCCTCACCTTTTCCAGGATTCTGTTTTGAGACTCGTGCCTGTCCCTTTCTATACTTCCATCAGGACAGAAATATTTATTCATTATGACAGCTTTTTTCCCAGTTAGAGCAGAATGCCAGCTGAACCCAACACGAGCGTGTGCAAGCCGAGCGTGTGTTACCGACCACAGCCGCGAGCCCGAGCAGGTGTGCTGGAGCGAGCGGCCAGTGCTGCCTGTCTCCCGGTGGCACACCTGGCCCTGGGGCCTGCCGTATGAACTGCACGTGGACCAGCCCCGTCAGGGGACATGTCGTACCCAGTGCCTGAACCCCAAATTCAAAACTGGCTCATAGTTGGTGCTTTACAGAGAAACTCAGAAAGATAAGAACATTGGAGGGAAGAAAGACCACTTAGAAACCCACAAGTAAACCCCTGAGTTCATACTCACCACCACCCAGGCCTGCGGCCCTCTCTTCCCAGCCTGGCTCCTGTCCCATGTGTCCACACCTGTGGGCATGCCAGGCTGCCAGGCCTGTGGGGAGGGGGTCCTCTGGGCTGGGGGTCCCCTGTTGGGAAGTGCAGGGGCCCTTGAAGGATCATGCTGGGGATGTCCTCTGATGGACGGTCCCGGGGGTCCTCTGATGGATGGTCCTGGGGGTCCTCTGATGAACAGTCCTGGGGGTCCTCTGATGGGCGGTCCCGGGGGTCCTCTGATGAACAGTCCTGGGGGTCCTCTGATGGGCGGTCCCGGGGGTCCTCTGATGGATGGTCCTAGGAGTCCTTGGGGGCCAGTGCTGGGGTGAGTCCTCTGATGGATGGTCCTGGGGGGCCAGTGCTGGGGTGGGTCCTCTGATGGACGGTCCTGGGGGGACAGTGCTGGGGGTCCTCTGGGGGATAGTCCTGAGGGTCTCCTGATGGATAGTGCTGGGGGTCCTTGGGAGGACAGTGCTAGGCTGTCTTCGCACACATTTCCATTTCTCTCTGGTGGTAATGTCAGGCTGTGTCTCTGTTTCATACAAAATCCACCTGTGACTTAAATTGCCATGAATAATTCTTCCTTTTCTTCTCTTTGTTAACTGGCTGTAGTGTTTGTGGGAAAAGTGCTGAAGAGGCTTTTCCCTCGTGTTCCCTGCAGCCAAGTAAAGAGCGCACCTGTGACTCCAGCGTCTGACAAACCAGCCAGGAGAGTGGCCGCTGAAGAGGTCCCCAGGTTGACAGGTGAGGGGCTTGCGGGGTTGGGGGGGTCACCATCGGTTTCCTGGCGACAGCCTGCCCCGGAGCAGGAGGCTCTGGCTGGCTGCAGTGGGTGCTGAGCTCCAGGATGCCTGTCCCCACACACTCAAGTCCACTGCGCTCCGGTAGAGGAGCCAGGGGTGGGCCCTCTGTCAAAGACCAGTTCAGGACTCTGCTAGGTGCTTGAGTTCACTTGCAAACCCTTCTCTGGTCCCAGAGATGACCGGTGAGCCCGCTGGCTTTGTCTTTCCTATGCCACTGTCACTCTATCCCGGCACTGCCTGGCTTGTGTCCATGCTGCACGGGCTCCTGACAGCTCTCCTGCTTTTGTCCCTTATCCACCGGTCTTTGGCACGGGTCTGTCTGAGCTCCTCAAGCAGGATGATGGTCTGCAGCGGAGCCTTGTGAACTGGTACCCCAGTAGCACAGGGTCTCCGGCTGGGAGGGAGATGCAGGGAGACACCGGGCGAGGTCGGACACACACAGACCGTGCTCTGAGCCCCCATCCTTGCTTCTGTTTCCTCTGGTGTGAGCCTGCACTGGCCTTTGTTCCCACGTGACTCTGTTCCTGGCTGCAAGCCCCGCGGAGTGACCATGATGGAAGGGACAAGTTAGTTCCTTGGGCACACATATGTGACCACGCACCCTTGGCTTGACCTCAGCAGCCGCCCAGGAGTCCCGCCACTGTGCTTGCTGCCCCCGAGGCCGGCTCCGCATGGGCAAGCCCACGAAACCTGCTGGCCATCAGCCAATGCGGCGGGTGCTGTGCTGGTGCGGGTGGGTACAGGCGGTCACAGAGATGCATTCCCTGACCTTTCACGGACAGGGTCGCTACATGTGTGCTGTTCCTCCAAGACAAACCCACATGTGCCGCGCTCCCTTTCCGTGTCCTTGCCCTGTGCCGGGCCATGCTGATGACGGTGCCCCCTCCCAGCTCTGTGGGGACTCCTGGCTGTGAGGGAGCCACCGCTGCCCTTGAGCAGGGCCCAGCGCACGGGGATGTCCCCAGCACCTGCACCAACCCTAAGGAATGCTGTGTGTCCCTTTTCAAGTGACCTGTACCTGTGAGCGCTGAACCGTGTCCCCAGGTCCCTCATCAAGGCCCCAACCCCTGTGCCACAGGGTGTGCTTATCTTTGGAGACTGGGCCTTTAGGAGGTGGCAGAGGTCGCGAGGGCCGGTCCTCACGTGGTACGACTGCCCAGCGCCAGTCACGAGAGGTGGTCGGGACACAGACCCGCACTGGGGGCTGAGCACGGGAGCACCTGGGGAGAGACAACATGTACACGCTGAGGAGAGAGGCCCAGGAGGAGCCTGCTGCCAGGGGACCCCAGACTCCTGCCTCCTGGCCCTGAGTGACACAGGTCTCTGCTGCGGGCCTCCAGCCAGAAACACGGCAGTTCGGGAGTCCACACGACCCAGTTCAGGAGGCGGAGTGCTGCGGGGAAGGCGTGCTGCCCCTGCTTTTCTCTCCAAATTTTACCGAATTGACATTCGTAATCTTGGCCAAAATGTTGGCTTTAGGGTTTGGTTGCACCTTCTTCCGTCTTGTAACTGGACAGCTGTACCAGTGATTAGCCACCAGGGATAAGGCTGGCGGAACATCAGACGAGGGCGTCTGTGTCCACGTGCATGAGCTCACACCTGTCAGAAGCGCACGGCATCCCCAGGGGCACAGGTCGCTGCGGGCTGGCCCTCTGCCACACTGCCCTCGCGGGCCTGGAGCGCTGCTCTTCACATGGATGTCACGGGGTCAAAGCCAGTGCCGTGACTCTGGGCCTCCCATCCTGAGCACGGTGAAGAGATGGCTCTGGGAGTCGTGGCAGCTCCCGTCTGTGCGCCGCGGCGGGGGGCTCTAGCTTCAGGGGCTGGGTCCGTCCCATTCCCACACTTCGTACAAGGCGCTCACACTGGCAGGTGGCTCCGGAGCCTCTGGGCAGTGTCTCTGCACCATACTTAGTGCTCAGTCCCTTCGTGTCAGCAGGTCCCTGTTAATACCGCCGTCAGGCGTGGAGACATTAATTAATCATGAAAATACCATTGTGAAGTTCAGTTCGGAGCGTGTTTGCCACGCGGAAACCACTGGTTCACACGGCCCCACAGCTGTTCCTTCGAGGAGGCACACGCGGCCGTGCGGGGGTCTTCTGGGGTCTCTGAGCACCAGCCATGCCGTCCACAGGCTGGGCTGTGGTTGGACAGCAGAGGCACAGAGTCCCCGTGGAGCGCAGAGCCAAGGCCAAGCCCGCGACACTGAGGTCAAGACTTAAGCCGAAATCAAGAGTCCCACACTTAACCGACGGAGCCATCCAGGCACCTTAATTTATTTTTTTTTAGATTAAATTCACTTAACCTCTTTTAACCATTTCAGAGCATTCAGCACAGTGATTTTTAGTATATTCACAAAATCGTGCAAACACCCCACTATCTCCAGGCATGGTTATCGCTTCAGAAGCAGACCCCTGCGCACTCCCTGTCCCTGCTTGCCGTCCTGCAGGTTTCTCTTCTGCACATTTCACACACGTCGAGTCCTTCGCTCCGTGGCCTGTTGTGACCGGCTCCCTCACTCAGTGCTGTGTGTTTGGGTCTGTCCACGCTGTAGCGCGTCTACACTCACTGCTCTTGGCCACTGGTTACTACCCCATTGGATGCCTAGAGCCTGCTGTGTCTGTTCAGCACTCGAAGGAGGGATATCTGGGTGGTTTCTGCTTCTCGGCTGGTATCAGTGACGCTGCCAGGGACATCCGTGAGCAACTGTGGGCGTGGACATGTGCTTTCACTTGTCCTGGGCATACACCTGGGTGTGTGCTGGTCCCATGGTAGCTCTAAGGACAGCCACAGTGTTGTCCCTGGCGGCCACCTCACAGGACACCCCCAGCAGAGGCATAAGGGCTCCCATTTCCCACACCCTTCCCGCATCTGCTGTTTTCTGTTTTCTTGAGGGCGACGGCCCTAGCGGATGTGAGGTTGTATCTCAGTGTAGTTCCGATTTTCATTTTCTCTATGACTGAGCACAAGAGCATCTTCTCATGCATGCATCGGCCGTCCGTGTGTGCAGAGACATGTCCGTGTGAGTCCTGGTACGGGGACTGCTTGTTTTGTTGCTGAGCTGTGAGAGTGGCTGTGCTCTGGATGCTAGACCCTGGGCAGATGTACGGCCTGCAGAAACTTCCTTCCACATCGTGGGCTGTGTCTGCACTTCCTTGATGTGTCCTTGGAAGCACAGAAGGTTTCAAGTTCGATCGGGCCTCATGTATCTATTGTTTTTTCTGTTGCCTGTGGCTTTAGTGTTATATCTAAGAAACCATCGTCAAATCTAAGGTCCCAAATTTTACATCTCAGTTTTCTGGGAGTTTTATGGCTTTACCTCTGACATTGATGTCACCGATGGCCTCTGCGGTACCAGGTGTGTGTGGTGTGAGGCAGGGGTCGGGATCTAGCCCTTCTCCGGCGCATTCTTGTCCCCACACCACTCGCACCACAGGTTGTGTTTCCCACTACATGGCCCAGGCACCTTGTCAGGAACCAGCAGTGCAGATGTTTGGGTTTATTTCCGGGCTTTTAGCTCTAGGCCATTGGTGTGTGGACTGTCCTGTGCCGGGATCACACTGTTTTAATAAGTTTGGTAATAAGTTTGGAAATCAAGAAGTAAGACTCTTTGCGCTTTGCTCTTTTTCGAGCCTGTTTGAGCTGTCAGGGTCTCTTGCAGTTCCACGTGAGTCTTAGCATCAGCTTCTGCACTTCTAGGGGGAAAGGCGACTGGATTTTGATACAAACTGCACTGAGTGTGCAGAACACAGTGGCGGGGGAGGGGGTTCCCATCTTAACAGTATTCACTTGTCCAGTTCATGAGTTTAGAACAACCTTCTGTTTAAGTCATCTTTGATTTCTTTCAACAGTATTTTGTAGCTTTTGTTATAAATTTTACACTTAAAAAAGGTTTATTTCCAAGTATTATATTCTTTTTGATACCGTTGTAAATGGAATTACTTTCGTTTCTTATTGGAATGTTCATCGCTGGTGTTTGGAAGTAATGTGAATCCTCTGACCTCAGAATAGGCAAATGTTTCCTAAATACGGAAATTCAGGTTTTTGTGTCTTGTTCTTGTCTCCTAAAACTTTGCCAAATTTATTACCTCTAACAATTTTGTAAGCAAATGTGCACGTGTGTGTCTTTAGCGTTTTCTACATTGAAAATCATGTCATCTGTGGGGAGAGATGTTTTACTTCTTCCTGTCCAATCGGGATGCCTTTTCTTTCTCTCTCTTTTACTTCCAGGAACATCAGCATACCCTTGAGGGAAAGTGGCAGGGGTGGGAGTGCTGGTCTCTCTGCTGCTCTTGGGGAGAGGATCCAGGCTGTCCTTCTGCACAGGATATCCACAGTGAGCTCTGCGCACATACCCTTTGTCAGGCTGAAGTTTCCTCCTATTCCTAGTTTGTTGAATGCTTTTTTTTTTTTTTTTTTTTTTTAATCATGAGAAAGCAACATACTTTTGTGAAGCAATATGCCTTGGAAATTTTGAAGGAAAAACAATTTATTTGTAGCTGGAAAAAAATCTTGACCAGGGCAAAACGGTGAAATCTCAATCATATGGACAAAACTTGTGTGAAGCTTCTGTAAACGTTATTTTGAGAATTCCCATGGAGGCAAGGTGCTCCTGGAGGAGACAGCATGGTGATCATCAGAGTTGTAGGGGCCCATATCTTTGTAGGGTTGAAAGAAGGTGGCCCAAGTGAAGAAAGTTGCCTTTATCAGTGAGTTCTCGGATGTGCGATGGGGAGAATGCTCTTTGTGGATAGGACACAGCGTGGTAATTATGGTAATCATTCAGTCGATTTACTGATGTTTGTTCACCTCACAGAAACCCTTTCCCCTTTCTGGTATTAAGAGTACTGATGGTTCCACTTGTTAAAGATAGGGGTGTGATGTACAGATAGACAAAACAACCAGTGCGTATGCATTTGGTAAATTTCTTTCACTCAGAGGCCCACATCAGACCTTTATTTTCATTATTGCTCTTACTGTCTCTTTAATTGATTGGTATGTGGCACATATTCCAAGTCCTACAAGTCGTCCTGCAGGAATTCCCGTGACCGGCAGCAGCCTGCATGGCACAGGTCCCAGGTCTGCACCCGCTGTCCAGGTGATCCTTCAGCTGTGTGACTGGAGCCTGTCCTGGTCCCGCAAGCTCCTCTGCCAGCTCTTGGTGGTGGGCCCGCCCCCCTCACAGGCAGACAGGGTCCCCTCAGGTCCGCCGGGGCCGGACAGCCACAGTGTTGGTGTTGTGGCTCAGGACCTGCTGTCTGCCTTTCACTCAGATCATGTTCCCAGTGTCCTGGGATAGAGCCACACATCAGGCTCCTTGCTCCATGCGAAGCCTGACTCTCCCCTTACTTGTGGATGTGTGCGCTCGTTCTCTCTCTCTCTGACAAAAAAAAAAAAAAAAAAAAAAAAAAAGATTGATGCCACCCAGTGTTGGAAAGAGCGTGGGAGAAGGCGAGCCTATAGTTCCCCTTCTAGAGCATGCGTCTCAGAAGCCAGCGAGAGGAGCTTACCCTTCAGACAGTCCCGTCAACAGGGATTTCTCTGAAGAAATCAGTGGTCAAGTGTGCAAAGTTAGCTTCGACAAGGACAGTCAGCAGCTGTTTGTGGATCAACCTCCACGTGTGAGATTTGGAACAATGGTTAGATTATAATTAAATCGTAATTTGCCAGACACATGGAATATTATATAGCCATTAAAGAACGGCATAGATGTAAATGTATCTTAACAAACTATTCTGTCATGTACTAAGTTTTGAGTGATATTATATATGTAATGTACAGACGTATAATAATAATATGTGGCAAGAATGATCGCATTAAGATGTGTGTGTATACACAACGTATGCGGGTTGTTAGCACACATGGAAAGAAAGTTCCGGATTATGCACCAAAACGTTAAGAGATTCACGGGGCAGTGATGAGAGTTATGCTGTGTGGAATAGACTTTTTTCTGCTTCTTACTCATGACTTAAATTTTTCTATCATTTTGTAAAAATCCAGAGGCTAAATAATCAGAGGTTGTTCCTTTCTCCTGGCTGGACATAGGGCTGGTGCGACTCTGACAGGGCGCTTGGCCTGCTGGCCCTGTGCCAACGGCAAGACTGGGTCTCACAAGCTATTAGGTCTCACGTCTTCGGGGCATGAGGTTGGGGAAGGGTGCCAGGGCCAGCAAATGTCCGGTCACATGATGCCATTTTCACTGTCCCCTTGTCTCCTGCAGATGAGGACACCAAGGTCCCACCTCGAAGGCGACTCTACACGGCGAGTTTGCCTCCTGAGGGGTATGTCCCTGCTCCGCCAGAGCCGCGGGACAGCCCAGCCTCCGAGGACACGTCTGGCAGCGATGACACAGGAGGAGGGTGCCAGCTCCCAGGTGAGGTGTGGCTCCATGGTGTCCCACTCACACAGATGCACGGTGGGAGGGTCAGGTGAGCATGTCCGCAGACAGCCACACGCTGGGCTCAGCATGTCTTGCAGTCCATGAAAAATGACGGGCAAACAGACTTGGGTGGGAGGGGATGCTGCCAGAATGGGTCCAGGGCTGTCATTGTCTGTCGATTAGGAGAAGTCTGCCATTAAACACAGCACAGTGTTAAAGGTACTTGTTTTGGTTTAAGTAGAACTTTTTTCTTGATTTTCCAATTTTTTCAGAATTTCTGAGATTGTGTGCAAATTTTGTAATCACGGAAATAACTTCTTTTGCATCTGTTTTATGGAAGGACCGAAAGAGTATTTTGCTTTCGTGGTTGAATGTCCTGTGAATGAAGGAGGGTAAAATGCCTGCTTTGCTGTGTGCACTGGGATCACATGAAAGCGGAACAGAGTGGAATTGGGAGATGTCAAATAAAAGTTTACCCAGATGATTTTCTAACAAGTATAAACTAAGAAACTAGTCTATACTCCAAACCTTAATTAATTTGAGTATCAAGGAAATGTGGTTTCTTTGGACGTTGATCTTCCCAAGTCCCTAATTAAAGGATCAGAAACCATAAAGCCAGAAAAGGGGTGGCGAAGGAATGATGTAGTCGTCTTTCCAAGCCCTGTTAAAAATCTTTAGAATGTAATTGTTAGATGAGTAAATTATTTAATGAGAAATTTTAATGACCGTCTTCTGAAGATCAGTGACTTTGGTGAACATACTTTATGGGTACTTAGTGTATTCAGTAAGAACGTGGGGGGACTCAGTCCTGTGCCATGGGACACAGTACTGCTCCCCAGCAACAGCTCATGGTTAGCACTGCTGATGAGGCCAGCAAGGGCCCGGCTGCGTCCAGAACCCCTGGGTCAAACGCTTGCGTCTGTCCTGTGACCGTAGGCCCTGAGCTGGAGTGACGCCCTCACAGGAGGTAGAGGGATGTTGGCACAACTGGGCAAGTGCCTCCTACCCAAAAGCTGCCCCCCACACAGGCCAGCTGGTCCTGTGCTGTGGCTGGCCCGACAGCGGCCCACGGCTGTGAGCGAAACCATGAAGACCAGGGGGCTGCCTGCCTACCGGCGATGCACGGTAACCTGGCAAATTCCCTAGTGCGTTGGGTGACGTTGACTGCAACATTGTTACAGGATACGTGTCTGCGACTTGTTGGGCAGAGTCTTTCTGTTAATTGTCTCATCCTCTGTTACCTGTTGGGGGTGTGGGTCTTCCTTTCCCAGAGGTTGTGATCGGAGAAGGGTCCAGTGGAGATGGGGGTGATGGGACTGCGTCCTGACCCGTCACCCTCTGAGGGGAGCGTGGGCAGGTCCAGCCCTGAGCTCAGTCTTATGCACCGTGCTCTGACCATTCTGCCTCAGGACGCTGTGTGGCTGTCTGCCACGGTGGTCTCTCCGCAGCTGGCCGAGTCTAGCCTCCTCACCGGCCAGGGTCTGGGCTTGAGGACATGATTCTTTCTGGAGGCCCTGTGAGCTCGGTTTCCTAACTCAGTGCTGCTGGAAATGCTGCCCGCTTTTCTAGAAGAGCTTCAGTTAGCTCACCCATCAGATTGCGGCTGGGAAGCCTGTATCTTTCCCTTTTCCACTCTTAGAACCCCTCTCTGTTCCCATCTACTTTGTTTACTGTTTATCAAATGTTTCCTTCTCCTTGTCAGCCCAGGAAGTGGGCTGCTGCAGGGCACTGGAGGCCGTAAAGTTGGAGGAATGTTCACCCAGGCCTCCTACCAGTGGTCTCCAGTGTGAGCGAGCATTCAGGGAGGCCCGTGCACCACGCTCCGCACGGTGGGTGTGCAGGGGTGAGGGTGAGCAGCAGCCCGAAGCCTGGGCACGCGCCAGGTGGGGGGTGTGCAGACCAGGAAGCTGCGAGGAGTTGTCCTGAATCTTTCTGTTTGCGATTTTAAGCAAAAAGAAGATGAGCACTCACATTAGAAAAGAAGAAAGAGTCAAATTGTTTCTCTTTTTCCAAGAACCACTTCTGGCCGTTGACTTCCGCTGTCAGTATGCAAAACCAGCACGTCAGTGACGTAGTAGCTTGGAGAAAAATTTAGGAGGAAAAGGGCGACTCTGTCCTGCTTTAGTGTCCACAGGTGGCTGCCAGGCCAGTCGTTTGCGGCCTGCATGTGCTCTGCACCCTCACCAGGCACTTCTGTGGGACCCGGCCATGGCCCAGAGCACCTGAGTCCCGGGGCTGCCCAGGGAGCCAGCGGGGAGCCCCCGTCCTGGTCGTTGGTCATCCCACGCACACCCCCCCCCCATCCATTCTGTACCTGCCCCAGAGGAGGTCCCATCCGTCTGGTCGCCCCGCACCGGCTCCACTGCCTGCATCCTCGGCCCCTGGCATGAATGCACGTGGGGCTTGTGAACTGTCCTCACCGGGTTTGTTCCAGGCCCACATGTGTCTGCTGTGGAGACAAGCACGCGCTCGCCAGACCCGTGTCGCGGGTGTGCTCCTTGCAGTCCGTGTGGCCCTTCCCATTCCGTGGGTGACCTCTGCGTGTAGCATACACGGACTTGGAATTCTTTGGGGCGTAGTACCTGTTAGCAGTGGGCCGGTGGGTGCCGCAGGGAAAGAGGAGCTTCGTCAAACCCGGCAGGTACCACCGGGCCGCAGGATCCCCCTCCTTACATTTGATTCACGCAAATGCCTTGGTACGGCTTTTGAGAAGAAGAAATCCACGCTCGCTCCTTCCTGCCTCGGACACCTGGCGTTTCTGCTCTTGCCCACGTGGTGTTGCACGTTATTCTCGACAAGCCGGTCAACTGTAGCCCGTCCCTGTACGGCAGATGCCGTCCTTCTTGGTACCTCTTCCAGGGACAGTGCTACGGGGTTGAGTCCTTTCTCCGGCGGGAACAGTGTTCTGCTCACCGTCTTGGTGCATCCCCAGGAATGCTGTCCTCCGTGACATTACACAACCCAGGACCTTACCATGAAGGGGTGTCTCCCACCCCCGGGCAGCCAGGTAGCGAGGACTGTCCGTCTTCAGAGCGCGGCAGCTCAGTCTAGTCCCCAGCACACTGCCTGGTGGGACCCTGGGACTCAAGTGCCTGCTGGTGGGAACATGTTCATGAGAGAGCCACAGCCTCCTCCTGACGCCCCACGTTCATCCCCTGAGCTGCTTCCATGCCGCCTGCAGAGGGAGAGGTGTGCAGAGTCTGGGCGTGCCCGTGTCCTGGGTTCTCATGGTCCCAGCCGGTCGGAAGTGCTCTGCGGTGCTAGTGCGCCTACAGGAGGGAGCACCCGTCACTCTGCCCCTAGGCTTAGGGGAGCGCTCCCACTGTGCCGAGTCAGGTCGGAAGAATGCTGCGCACCTCCTTTATGTCAGCACCCCTTTCTCTAGCAATATCATCCGAGTATTTCACTTTTAATGAGGTTAAAGGCCTTGAGAGTGTTTTTTGTTGCTAGCTTGTTTTTATAAACTATCGTTTAAAACTTTGTTCTTCATTCACTGTACATCCCTGATGTTTATATAAAACCCAGGTGAAAATTTGTTTTAGCATTTGGTCCTAGAAAATGCTTTGGTTGTTAGGACCTGGTATGCTGCTGTTTATTGGACAAAGTGTGGTTCACTCAGGTACTCTCTTTTTGCTTTTGCTGCCGGGGAGCTCAGAGAATAGTCTTTTTGTAGTCTTTATTCAGTTGCAGTTGTTTTCCTTGATCTTTGTTCTCTGATCCTTACCTGTCCCCACCTCTCAATGCTTGGGTCATTCCTTTTAGAGTCCTTATGATGTTGATTTGTGTAAGCTACGCCCTGTGGTTTTTGGAAGTAGATAAAGTAAATGGTGTTCCACCAGGATGTCTCTTAACTAGTAAATGCCTGCTAAATGTTTGTGCTTGCCACGTGGTTAGGCCCTGGGACCACAAAGACAGCAGACAGGGCCTTGCCTGAGGGGCTCATCACTGGGCGACCGTGAGCAGCTGAGGTGAGGCATCGTAGGTCATCTGGCACAAGCACCAGCGAATGCCGTGGGAGCACAGGGTGACCTCGGGGTCGCACGTGTGCAGAGGACACAGCACAGCGGGCAGGGCCCCTGATCCTGTAGAGAGCATGGCTTGGGGATGATGGACAGAGGGTAGCAGGACCACTGGTGGTGTGTGTGTGGCATGCAACCCAGCTGTGCTCAGCATGGTAGTGGCTGAGCCCGCCCACGGGTGGGGACAGATGAGTGGGCGGTGAAAAGTTCCAGATCAGCACTGCGGGGCTTTGGACAGTGTCCCAGGAGCGGGCAACCTTTGGGGTCTGGACTTGGCATGTCTGGGGCACAGTGAGGGAGAGAGGGTGCCGTGACCTGAGCCGTTGGTAGGTCACGGAAGGAAGGTGATCCCCAGAGCGGCAGCCAGATGCGTGACTTTCCTTGAGAGAAGGGAACTCTGCCCATCAGTGTTCCTGACTCCGGAGGACCTGCGGTGAGGACGGACAGACCATGACTGTCATGAGCATCTCTGCTTCTGGCGAACTTGGCTCTCACCCTACGGTGCCTCCTGCGTGGAGGTGAGGCGCTCACACAACCATGGGCACGGCAGGGGTTGTCCCAGGAGGGCGTCCGCGCCTCAGCACATGCTGGGGGCAGGTGAGCCCCACACCGCACTGGGAGTGGAGATCGGCCAGGAACACCATGTTGGTGTGAAGCTGCTGTGGGGCGTTCCAGTGGCCGGCGCACTTCAAACGCCCCCGACATGACCATTTGCGCTTGCGCCGTGCATTTCCCAGCGTCTCCGGCACGCCCTGGTTGGCAGCTCTGTGGGCCTCGTTCATCCTTCCCAAAGGAGGGTTCTGGGCCCCGTCAGCCTCACGGCATGTTAGTCTTACAGCAGACCCTCGCCTCTCACATTTGTCTTTGTGGCTCAGTGACTGTCCACCTTGCTTCCTTCGGCCCCATGTTTAGTGAATGCTTTGAGCCGCCAAACCAAGAATCGAGCTTTTCGTCAGGCGGCAACAAGCCTCAAAC